GGATGCATTCGGTGGAGGGGTCCCTTCCGAGAGTATACTGAGATTTCCTTGTTTGGCATATGAGATGCTGAAAAGATATTCTTTTGTTGCTTGGCATAAACACATATCGTTTCATTGTTCTGATCTCAGCCCGCGCGGGCGCGGCTCCTCGGACCATTTGGTCCGGTATATGATTCCTTATTGAAACCGAGTCGGTCGTTCCCCGGCTCTTCTGAGTGGTCGGCGCTTTTCAGAGAGAGGAGGGGTGCCCTTCATCGTTTGATTGCAGAAGGAAGGATTGCGATCTTGTCGGATCCTCCTCAAGGGGTACGTTGTTCCGCTAAGAACCTCGCTAGTGAGACCCTCTTTTGGGCGGAAGTCCGGTCGAGGGAGAAGAGTGTGACGGGTCATGTTAAGGCTTTGGGGTCCCCGGGTAGAGTTAGCACTTCCGAACGCCCTGGCCGGATGCCTGCACACAAATTAGTGGAAAATAACGAAGGAGAGAGGTAGGTTTTCTTTATCGCGAGGTGTGTAGGCGATGCTCCGGGGTTTGATATGTTCCTACTGCTTCGGAGTATGGGTTCTAATTCGGCCCTCCATCGTGTTTAATCGGACTTTGCCGAAAATGTGGTTCGCTTACCCTTTGATTCTTTCAATAGTGGAGATGTTGGTGCTGGTGGTGTGTCATGTGATGCGAAATTTCCTTTTTTCGTGTATTGCTTTCCGCTCACGGTTCTAATTCCGTCCATTGCATGGAATTTCATCCTTCGAGCGAATTGGGGGCGGCGTTGTCTTCATGCGGTATGCCCGTGGCCGTCTGAGTAAGACGCCCGTGCCTTGTGTCCCCTTTATCGGTATGGGATTCGGCGTTCCTATCTGAGCCAATCGTGTTGTATCGAGAGAATGGTCTTTCTTCTTGCTGTAGAGATCGCCTTCTGGAATCTGTTAAAGGTTCAAGAGGTGGTCGTGTTTTGACCCGGCAGTCCGAGCCGCCCTATTAACCTCGGCCCAACAACGTCGATGTGTTGATCAAACCACCTGAATTCATGAACACATATTTTATTTGAAATAGGTCAAATGAGGGAGAAGGTTGCCAATGCGTCAGTGTGGGGCCGAGGCAAAGTCTTAGTGTCTTTTTTGCTGGATGAAAGGACGTCCTCTGGAATATATCCTTGGACCCGTTTTTCCCTGATGATGAACATTTTTACTTTCCATTTTATGAGTCCTTGGAGGGTGTCTCCGTTCCACCACTATCGTGGCGATACGTCGCGGCTCGTTTGCTTCGTTCTTCCTGGTTGCCTTCCTTTCTCGGGGCTGAATTCGAGCCTGATCGCTCGACAGTACTCAGTGGCGATTTTTATTGAGCAGCACATTTGTTTTCCTCCTGAGTTGGTGGCCATCTCCGACCCCATGGTCATGCGCGCAATGCGGTTCTTGCTCCAGGTTGTAGTTCCGTTGAGGGGGACTCGGTCGAATAGGTCTGAGCCGTTTGGCATCCCTAGTTTCGCTTATGGGGAACACGATGTTTGGTATAGCGATGCTGAAATTGTACTCTAATGGGAAAGGTGCCCCTGCCGGCCATAACTCGTAGAATCTGGCTTTGTTGAAGATTCCTCGAGGACGTTGCCCTCGGGCCATTTCCCAATCGTTGCGAGGTGGATTACGTCTCGGGGCGTTCCCCCTATCCGCGGCGTACGGGTGGTACCTCCATCTATTTGGCATTAGTTTCCTTGTCGGGAACCTGCTTGGGTATACTGAGCCCGAGGAGGCTCCCGGATGGTCGTCCATGGCCCTGATTCGCGACTGGCGCCGGATACGGGCATCCGACCAGATCTTGGCTGGGTACTCAACTATGTTTCGTTTGAACTGCCTTGAAACCGTTGGGCTTGGTTTGTTTAGGCTTTGGGCGAAGGCCTGTGCTGCCCGGTCATCCGAGACCGGGGGCAATCTCGTTCGTTCTATCAGGAAATGGGGTGCGAATTCCTGTGGCATTTCATTCTCCCTTTGTTCGGCCCCGGGTGTGTCGGGCTCTTTTGTCGCTGCTTCGATGGCACCGGCGTGTGTATCCACAGAGGAATTTGTTGGTACGGTAAACGAGTTTGTGGGGTTAGGTGTTAGGCTACGACACCACATCTTGGTTCCTTTTGAGAATGTTTCCCCGAACCTCTTCGATAAGACGGGCTCGAACTCATCATCTTGAAGGTCGTTGCCTCTTCCCGCGCACGCACAAACGGTGATGTGATCGTCGGGATCTGAGGTCCCGTTGTACTTAGGGAGTTCTAGCGTTACGTACTTCCGTGAAACGAGTTCCGGGACCACTTTGGGGGGGAGGGCCGTTGCATGGGCTTCCATGAACCTGACCCGGTCCTTTTGGAGAGATCCCTGAGCATCTTTGCTATGGTAAGGTTGGTTATCGATCTGTCATCGCTTGATCTCTCTAATATTTGTTAGGTGGGGGGGAGCTGTTTCCCGCGCTGCTGTGTTGGGAGTCTCCGGGTGACTTTGCAACTGAGCGATAGCCAACTGCTGTGCCTGCAACATTTCAAAAATATCGTGAAGACTTACTTCCTATGCTTCTCGAGCTGGGGTTTTTTGGGCTTCCTGTCGGTCGATATGTTGTATGCTCCCGTCGGTGTGCGAGGTTTCGTCGACCTGCTGCTCGTCTTGTGAGCCTACGTCCACTGGGATCGGCCCAGATGCGTTATCAGGGTTCTGTGGCGTCGCGCCAACGACTAGAGCAGCCACACCATTTTTGCCGTGATTTTCGAGGTAGTTGTTCTCAACCCGCTTTGTCGAGCCATACATTTTGACCTGGAATCAAGAGATCTTGGACAAGAAAAAGTGTGAAAGATAACATGCGTTTGAGCAATGAAACCAGCAAGAAAATTATCACTATTATTTTTAGCCTCACGGTGGGCGCCAAACTGTTTACCGTGAGAATGGTAACAACAATTAAATTTGTAAATGGAATTTTAAAAATATGTGATCTATTTTTATGCTAGTTGTTTAGAGCAATTGATGCTAAGAATATGAAGTTTATGGCAGAATACGAGCTAGAAACGGAGCGATAATCAAACCTAAAGGATTACTGTCCAGGCTTGTTTACCAAGGGGATACAGACTAAAACGGGGAGTTGAACGAACCGAGAAACCTACTGCCCGAGTGTAGGATTAGTCGATGGGAGACCTCGGGGTCGACGTCTGGGTCGAGCTCGAGCTATGGGGGGCAGTCGGGAATGAGATAACAGCTAAGATATGATTAAACAACGCTCTTTATGACCAATACCAAGCGATAGAATGAAGAACAAGTAAGAAAACAATAGATATTAAAGTGGCCTCGGACCAGTGAGAGCAAGCAAGTTAGAAAGAAGGGAGAGAGAGAGATATTATTGCACTTGTGGAGAAATAGTTGGAGCAACATCAGCCCTTTACAAGGTGGCGTGGGTTCCCTTTATATAGGAGGGGAACCCGGCTATAGTACATGGGCATTAATTGTAAAGTATGGAGATGTGATGGTTAGACGTGACGCTTCGGCGTAGGCTCTGGGTAGACCGGCCCTGTTAGACTTAGTCGTGTGCCTAGGGAACTTCCCCTTCTATTCAGGCCTCGTCCTTCGTTTTCTTTGAGTCGGGCCCCGACGAGCCTCGAGGGAGGGAACTCGATCATGGCTTCATGTCCTCGTGGTCTCGAGGCATTCTTCCGAAATGGCTCGATAGCGAGAATCGAGTCTTCTGATTTTGCCGCATACAAATACTATTTTACCTCATTTTTTGTGCCAAATAATATCGAAACTCGCTTTTGATACCTCCAATGGATTCCTTGTGAAATTCTGGTCAAGTAGGCGCTTGAATCATTTCATTTGACCTTATATGGAAGGAGATAAGTTGGTTTCAATATTTGGAAATATAACAGATTTTTAAATACGAAGTCAGTGGCAATTTCGTAATTAATCTGAAAAATCTAGCAACCCAATTCTTTGTAAAATGACCATAAACTCCGCATACGATATCCAAATTCGACGATTATTTTTGCTATGGCTCCGTAATTACAATACGGATTTAATGCTTCAATAAAAACATAAATTGGAGTGCATTTGCTTAATGTAGTACCATTTATGCTTGAAGAAACAACGTCGAAACATAAAAAAATGAGCGCAACACAACCCAAACATATCTGAAACTCTCCCAAGCCCCTCAGGACCACGTCCAAACATACCAACAAGTCTCATAACATAACACGAACTTACTCGAAGCCTCAAAACACACATAACAATATCGAAACAACGAATCACACCTCAATCCAAAAATCAATGAACTTCAAACTTCAAACTTTCACAACTGATGCCGAAACCTATCAAATCACGTACGATTGCCCTCAAATTTTGCACACAATTCACATTTGACATTACGGGCCTGTTCCAACTTCCGAAACTGAAATCCGACCCCGATATCAAAAAGCCCACTCTCGATTAAACTTTTTAAAAAAATCCAACTTTCGCCATTTCGAGCCAAATTCAACTAACCTCCAAATCACAATCCAAATGCGCTTCTAAGTCCAAATCACCCAACGGAGCTAACGAAACCATCAAAATTTTAATCCAAGGTCAAATACTAAAAAGTCAAACTCGGTCAACTCTTTCAAATTTAAAGCTCCCTAGTTCAGAATCATTCTTCCAAGTCAGTCCCGAATAATCTGAAAACCAAAACCAACGATTCACATAAGTCAAAATACATCGTACGGAGGTACTCACGCCCGTAAACTATCGAGCGAAGTGCAAATACTCAAAACGACCAGTCGAGTTATTACAGAAAGTGATCATACAACACATTATTTAAAGTCAATAAAAAATTGAATACTTCATATTCTATTAAATATTACATCCCATAAGGGAATCCCAAATATTTCTAGACAATTTTAAAAAAAAAAATTCTATATAAAGTCTTAAAAGTATATATAAAATTTACCAAAGAAGTGATGTCCGTGCAATGCACGGGCCCGACAACACTATTTTTGCGTTCGTGCTAGAAGACAAAGTGCTCCATATTAAAGTCAAAATAAATAATCATGATCAAAGAATTTTATATACAACATGAGGATAATATGTTTATTTTCTCTGCAATATGTGCAAATGAAAGACATAAAAATTGTACCCTTCCAACACGTAATCTAGAGCTTTAGTTGTTGCATATTTTTAAACTTGCTGCATGTTACTGCAAGGTTGTCTCCTTATTTGCCTGTTGTACTTCACAGTTGCCCAAAAACTCTTTGTGATCAAGTTGTCTAGTCTTGTAGGTTAGTATTCCATACCCTGTTTGCATCAGCAATACCATGATACAATGACAGAAGACTCTCTGGTGGTGCTGCAACACATGGTTTAGATTGAAGTAATACTCGAATCCCGACGACTAACATTTTTAAGTGACTAATCTGTGAAAAAAGTAGTAAATGATATGATATCACCCCGTCCTTGCAAAAAGATGTTTTTCCGTCTTTGGGATCTTGTTAAGTAGCTAACTCTTTCTCCCAAAAGTAATTGTATATCGCTTGTGAAGATAAACAATACCCAAGATGTACGCATAATATTCGAAGTCGAGGCGTCTACATTTTTGTTGTGAAACCCAATGAGACCTTATTTGTAGCTAATGAGAATACAGTAACAATGTAAATATGATACCAGTCAACTTATTGCTAATAATACATAAAATAGAAAAGAGAGAATTATGTATTCTTTCAGGCATAAAATTTAAGAAAAGCTATTAAAATCTTTGTTCTCTTTTGGAACTCGAAATTAAGGCTATTACAATCTTTCACTATTGATGTTTTTTCTAATATAGACATCAGTAAGCAAATTACCGATTCCGCTTGTTTCAAGTTCACAGAAGATTTAAACAGGAATTAGTGACGTGGTGACTGAAATTGGACTATATGCAGATTATGAACACCAATAGAAATGCTTTAGAGTAATGTCTATAGGTATAATTTGTGAATAGCATAAGTATGTAAAACTTCCTACCTCCGGCATAACATTTAAGGCCATCTCGAATTGCTCGACAAGCTCTCCCTGGTGGACATCTTGGTCAATTTCTGCCCCCAATATTGAGATTGGAACCTTAATAACTGAAAACCGCAACATATTAGCAACCTATGATTTAAGAATCAGAAACAACCAAAATCGTTAAATTATGAAAAATGTCTTGATCTTGCACTAAATAATGAAATCATGTTCTAATTGAGAAGTAGAAATGAACTATCATGGTAAACACAATATTTTTGAAATATCAAACCAAATAAATGTTTAAAACCATCCCCTCCCCACTGCCACCAGCAGGTGGCATTTAGATAAGTTGTACAGTGACTTCTAGAACGAAAACCTTTTCTACTAAACATTTAGCACCATAGAAATACATGAGGGAAAAGAATTTAGATCAAAGTAACAAAAAAAGATAAAGGTGACATAGTAGTACAGCTATATGATAACTTTTTATCTGGTCAAACTCAGCAAGATGTGGAACTCTGTAAAGAAAAAAGACAACATGAAAATAAAAAATAGAAGTGTAAATTAACCTAAATTCATTTGAAAAACGAAAACTAACATAACTCACTTACCTCTGTTGGAATAAAATAAGACAAGCAGCACAGCATCCTAAGCAATTGGTATGAAATTAGACAGCTTTTGTTAAGCAACAGAATTTACCTTTTGAAAGAGCCACATGAATGCTTAATGAAGACCCAAAAAGATGCCAAATATTCATATACAAACGAACTTTATTTGAAATCTTAAATATCACATACCTAGAAGCTAGTGCATTACTGGAATGATGAGAAAGCCACTGGCTTTTAAACTCAGCTCTTTTAGGTTGCAGTTGCAATAAAAATAATTGTATTCTCTCCGACGATCTCCAATGACATTTGTGCATATCTACTATGGCGTTTCATAATTTTATCAGCGAGTTATTGTTCCTCAGTATACTGTGATCTATGTAATCCACATACTTTGCTTGCTGACATTCCAGTTCCAAGCAATTTTATTTATTTTGTTAAAGTAGTTTTTATAAATTGATTTAATTCTAAGAAACTTTACATTAGCTAAATACACATCTTTATTTGTGGAAACTACTGGACTTGGAGAATTTCTTCATCACATCTACCTGGTGTTGATCCTGGCAATGGAATAATAAATGGAAATAAAAAACAGAAGTGTAAATTAACCTAAATTCATTTGAAAAACGAAAACTAATATAACTCACTTACCTCTGTTGGAATAAAATAAGACAAGCAGCACAGCATCCTAAGCAATTGGTATGAAATTAGACAACTTTTGTTAAGCAACAGAATTTACCTTGTGAAAGAGCCATATGAATGCTTAATGAAGACCCAAAAAGATGCCAAATATTCATATACAAACAAACTTTATTTGAAATCTTAAATATCACATACCTAGAAGCTAGTGCATTGCTGGAATGATGAGAAAGCCACTGGCTTTTTAACTCAGCTCTTTTAGGTTGCAGTTGCAATAAAAATAATTGTATTCTCTCCGACGATCTCCAATGACATTTGTGCATATCTAATATGACGTTTTATAATTTTATTAGCGAGTTATTGCTCCTCAGTATACTGTGATCTATGTAATCCACATACTTTGCTTGTTGACATTCCAGTTCCAAGCAATTTTATTTATTTTGTTAAAGTAATTTTTACAAATTGATTTAATTCTAAGAAACTTTACATTAGCTAAATACACATCTTTATTTGTGGAAACTACTGGACTTGGAGAATTTCTTCATCACATCTACCTGGTGTTGATCCTGGCAATGGAATAATAAATGTATAGACAAGTATAACCAAAATGAGTAATCCAATTAGTATATCGGAATTTTGAAATTTTTGTGGACTCGCCTACTTCAAAGATAAAGAAGAAATTATTTCTATTTGTGGCTGCAGAACCTATTAAATGCGCATAAGTAGTAGTAATGTCTTTGAGAAGGATGAAAATATTATACTTTCCTAACCTTCCTCGGAAGCTAACGGAGGATTAGTAATTGTAGAGTTTCGGTTTCCAGGTTGAATGGCGACCTCTGAAGAAGATAGTGCATTACTTGTATGATGTAACAGTCGTCACTTTAGCTTGCAGTTGCAATAAAATTTATTGTTTTATTTTCGGCTACATTTGTGCATATCGAATACCGCGTGTCATATTCTTATGAGCAAGTCATTGTTCCCGAGTCTTTTCGGGTTATGCAATGTATTGTCTTTGTTCGTTGATATTCCTGTTCCAAGCAAATTTTTATTTTGTTAATATTTAAAATTTGGTTTAATTCTACAAAATTATACATTATACCTAATTTTCTTGATGACACAAAATTAGATTAATAATACCAAACTACAATTGAAACATATGCAAACAATGATAGACGTCTTAAATGTTTTTCCTGAATACAATTATAAATAACATATACATTATTCGCCAATGCTATCTACAAATAAGTAATGTTCCCTGACATAGGAGTATGCCGTAGAAAGGCTGTGGGAAAAAAGAGCAATAATTGTTTCAATTGCTTCAAGCATGCTATCAAACGCTTTAGGTGCGTCATTATTCGTGATGGATTGTAGAACAAGTTCAGCAAATAGGTAAGCAAAATCACAATGGAGTCCAACCAACTCCTTATTCTAACAAGCTTAATTTATAAAAGAAAAAATATGGATGATGTACGAAAGGATATAAATCTCAAATTAAGCAAGACATGGTACAAAAACCAAAACAACCAGAGAAATAAACATAGAGTAGATATTTCCTACCACCAAAAATTTCGGTGCCTCCTAGATTTTCAAATGGAACAAAAATGGCATATTCATCACATGCAATGTTATATGAGCTTTCAAAAATTACATACATACCTAAAACTTCTGTCCAGTAAAAATAAGTAATGTACCTCTTGGATTGTTGACTGGCAGAGGAGTATATTGGAGAAAATCTGTGGAAAAAACAAAGAAATAGAGTCTTGTTCAGTTGCTTCGGCATACTATCAAACAGCTTGGGTGCAGAATATAGTTGAAGTTTGTATAATAAACCCAAAAGAACTGGCGATTACAAACAAAGAAAGTACAGCAAAAGAGAAGCAACCCCTAAAAGAACTGGCAATTACAAATAAAGAAAGTACAATAACAGGTTGTAGAAAAAAATCAAAAACAGAAGGAGATCAGATGAACACCAGAGGGAGAAGGTGATGAAATTACTCACAAAAGGAAAATTACAGAATGAAATTTGACAAAGAGAAGAGAACAGGGTAAAGTACGATAGAGAGAAATAAAAATGTAAGAAACTGATGAAAAGATGATGAAAAGAAAATGGGTGTGACAGCAAGTGTTGCAAGCCAGGTGTCGCACACTTAATAACACGTGTCACCCAACTTTACTGTACAGTTTCTGTTACTTTTTGTACAACTCTTTGCTGCGGTGTTCGTACACCTTCTCCAATTATATATAGTAGTAAAGTAAAGAGTCCGGAACCAAAATGTGGTTCTTTTTGACTCAAAATACGAAAATAAGTGTTAAAAAAAAATTACCAAACTATATATAACGCCACAAAAGTGGCGCTATACAGTAACGGTAACTGCACCGTTACTGTATAGCGCCACTTTTTGTGGCGCTATATTAATTAAAGGTTGACACATCTTACATAGCGCCACTATTAATGGCGCTATACCCCTTATTACCTGACTCCACCAATAATTTCTGGGTTCAATAATTCAAAAGCGTATAAAGCCACTTTTTGTGGCGCTATATACAAAAAAAAAA